ATAATGTAGTTTTTTTTTTTTTTCCGACTTGTTTTTTTTTTTTTTTTGCAGGGACCTTCCCTGGCCCATGCCTGGCCGGAGCGCCTGGGCAACCAAGGTGACCTCGGCGGCCCGGTTGGTAGCCCAGATGTATGTCGTCAGAGGCCTACGGCAATGTCACCGTTCTCTAATATCTTTGTCTATGCGTATGGGCATTTCACGCATACCTTTACATTGCGGTGTGTGTGTGTGTCTTTATATGTTGATGCCTATGTCAATGCCATTCTCTATTGTCTCTGTCTATTAAAAGAAAAGGAGGGCTATATTTGCGTCTGTATATGTCAATGTCATTCCCTGATGTCTTTGTCTATGCCTGTGTGCAATTCCTTGCATATGTCTTTAAATTGCAATGTGTGTGCCTGTATATGTTAATGTGTGTGCCAATTTCATTCTGTAATGTCTTTGTCTATGCCTTTATGCTTTTCCATGTATGTCTATCTGTCTTTGCTCTGTGATGTGTGTGTCTGTCCTCATGATATATACACATCTTTCTGACCTTTCTATCTGATCCGTGGATGTGTCGCTTCGCTTTGCTTTGCTATGCAGGTAATGAATCGTGACTGGGAGATAAGGTAACCCTTGTCATCTTCACTGCAGATGTGCTTTGCATGGAATGCTTTCTTATGATTAATTTATTATGTAATAATGTAAGTTATTCCATGGTCGCCAGCCGGACGTCTGGATCCCGATCCAGACAGTCTGGTGTTCGGCGTCCGGGTCCGGTGTCCGGTTAGGAGGGTCCTGTTGGACCCCGATGTCAAAAATTGGAATTTTTTTTTTGGGGTCCCCAGGCCGTTTTCCTGGGGCTGGGGTATACCCCGGAAAAATATTGCTGATGTTTTTTGCGAACTGGTACCCCACCCGGACCGGCCCTGAAAGGGGCCCTCTGTATGAAAAGTTGAAAACACGGGAGCACAGTAGCAGCCCCGCCGGTGGTAGGATCCGATTTTCGAACGTGTGGAGGACACGATTTTCGAACGTCGAAGAGTGGCAGCCCCGGTCGAAGAGTAGCAGCCCCTGCCTGAAGTCCGCCTCGTCCAGCAGAGCTGTCGTCGAAGTTCCTGCCCGCTGCAGTGCCATCGCCGTATTGGGGGGCAACTTTCATTCTAGATACAGCAGAGCTGTGTGTGTCTTCAGGGGCAATGTGATTAATAATTAATTTATTAGCATGTCCGACCAGTCCCACAAACCTGTTTTTGTCTGTGTATGTGTCCTATGTTTTTTTTTTTTTTTTTTTTTTTTTTTTTTTTTTTTTTTTTCCTCCCAGACAACTGGACACTGATACACCAAACCGAACTGTCTGGGTCCGGATGTCTGGATGTCCGGTTAGACCCAGACACAGGTCCGGTGTCCGTGTGCTGTTGTTTGGGTGTACGGGTCCGGGGCAACCATGAGTTATTCAGAATGAGCGATTGTACAAATTTATTTGATTTCTATTTCTTCATGGCTCTACACTTTCCATTCTTTGCACAGGCTAATCCAGCATTGTTCTGATGTGTGTAGAAATGGGGGGAGGTGTGTGTTGGTGAGGTGCATGCTATGCAGAGAATAGGATGATGGAGCGGCCTGTTCGTTGCAGTGCCTGGTCTTTTGTTTTCAGTCCGAGTCAAATCCTGCCTTCATGTGATTTGCTTCTCGTGTGGCAAGAATGTGCAAGGCCGTGAGGGCCTTCCAGCAGGCAGCAGAGAACGGCTAGGCCCTGCGCTCAGGCCCAAAGGGGTTAAGCCTAACTGACCTATAGGCCCTCGTCAAGCTGTCGAGGCCCTGCGGTCAGGCCCAAAGGGCTTAAGCCCAACTGACCTATAGGCCCTGGTCAGGCTGTCCGCGACCCGATAAACTATGGCCTTGTCCAGGAAGCCTCCAGACAGCGGTGCCTACGGGCCGCACAGGATTCCGAGTGAGGTATTTAAGAAGGTTGGGGCAGGTCGAAGACACATTGGCCTGAGGACGTTCAGCCAACAGGCCTTTGGGCGCCTGTTGTGAGCTGTGCCAGAGGGTTGTCATAAAAATACCAACATGTGAATTCTTGTGCGAATGTGATCATTGCTTTGTCAATTCTGCTAATCAACTTGTTGCCGTGTGCATGTTGGGCAAGAGAGACTCCATGCTGCTTGTAATTGAGTTCCTCCTGATCGATTTCCTTGCAAATGGGGTCTATTAAGCTGGTTGTCCCCACCGATGCATTCATTATCATTATTTTGCTTGCGTCAATCGGTCGGAGGTTCCAGCATATAGCCAGAATTTGTCTTTGATGCTGAAGAAAATACCCCTTTGTCGAGGAATTTCGTTTGTTCATGTTATTCGCTAAATTTGGTTCTGCATTTAGCGACTTGCTACCTTTTTCAAGGCAGACCGGACTTGATCTTCTACTACAGATTGAGTTTGTTTTTTATTATTATTATTACAAGCGGGCTCTATGTGGTTACGCTCGCAGCACAACACGTGCATACAGAGTTACGTATTGCAAGTCACCATATGCCCATCGTGTACAAACACGTATTTGTGAGACATGTGATTGTCAACTAAGCACAGGTCTCTCTCTCTCTCTCTCTCTCTCTCTCTCTCTCTCTCTCTCTCTCTCTCTCTCTGTGTCTGTCTGTCTCTCTCTCTCTCTCTCTCTCTCTCTCT